AACCAAAAAGTTCCTGCTCTTCATGAGTGTTCTTTTATAGTGCAACATGCACAAACAAGACGTTCTTTTCCGCAGCGTCTAATAGCATAGGGAATTTCTCGGTTATCAACAAACGCTGAATTTCACCCATTTTTACCTCTATTTTATCCCAATATATTGATCTGAACGAAGTAAATTCTATTAAACATCATTTTGCGCCTCACGTCAATCCAATGAACTAAATAATTAACCTCAAATGTGTGTTAAGTCCCCCAACCTCCAACATTTCATCAGATATACAATCTACTGTATATATGGCTTTGAACGACATGCATGATCTGACAGCATCTATCTGTAAATAGGGTTTTCAAAGGCTTTGCCTATCTCCTTTATATAAACTGAATTATGTCATGCTATGTTAATGGTCCGCACATGACTGCTCCTATCTGAGAAGAGAATTCGCAGTAATAGGCGAAGTGGAAATATTGTACTCTTACTTTCCAACAAACAGCTGCCTGACACACAGTCAGATGGATTCGCCCCCTTAGCCGTTGTCAGTCTCGATTTAATTTACGTTTTTTTGGATACGACGTCCAAAGCTTCAACGTATTTACGCCCAAATCTTCTGACTTTTGCTCATTGTTAGTATTTAACACCCTATAATATGAGGAAATGTTCAGTTGGAATGAATATACTTTGTTAATTTTGACGTTTAAATTTGCTTCTGGTACTCTCGGGAGAAGCTTAGATATGAGTTGTGGCACTAACCCGACTACAATATTTTGGTGAGACAAACATTTAACAATGAGCTTTCACCACTATAATTATCTATTGGCGTACCTATAATCCTGTATTTATGCTTATTTATTGGGGTTCACGAACGTGTTTTTCTCGCATTGTTTTGCTTCCCTTCTCCGAAAAAATACTCCGAAATCTAGATTTCCGGAGGAAATTTTAGAATCAACCACGTTGTTTAAGATCTGTTGCCCATTGAAGAAGAGGGTTCGGCTACAGTGCGGACTGCTATAAATAATCGACAAGCTTACTGCCTCCATTATTTAACCTTCCTCCTATTAGCTTTATGCTTCAATGTTACATTTTTACATTAAAGTCCCTAAGCTGCTCCCGGCATAACTGAAGAAAATTATATCATGCGATAAATTGTGCAACAGTTTCACAAACCTGATGGTGTCTGACCTTGACTTTGCAACCACACGTTGATATTGACAGTGACCTTTGTGCAACTTACAAAACTGGATTTTACCTTAGCCAATACAACCGTACACAATGGAAATTCAGTATATATACACGAAAAAGCGGTCTGAGTTTGGAAGACAGTGCAATTTTGCTGACAGAGCAGCAGAATTACACATTGACATTCCAAGGGATGATAAACTTGCAGAAAATTTTATTTCAAAGGATCCAGTTGATCGCGCGATACAATGTGCGAAGGAAATGTCCGAGCACGAGATCAACACAGAACGACTAGTTTCTGAGACAAGAGGCATTAATCACACCGAAGGTGGCTGGCCTAAAGATGTGAACTGCCAGGAGCCAGATCAGGTCGTCCGTTTCAGGAAGAAGGTTGAAAAGGATGAAAACTACACAGTTATTTTGCAAAGCCTTGGTGCCGTAAGTCAAAGTACGGGGTCTTATTTTCTGAGGTTGTCGAACACTGCATAAAACAAAACAATGCTATCGACATTTTTGAGGACTACTTTGAAAACATAGAACAGGAGGCATCAGAGGAACCGCCGTCAGCTAAGGTGGTTAATGTCTTCAGGTAACTGTGAAAAATACCCTTATTAAAAGAGATATCAATGAACATAAGCGTTCTGCAACCCACATAAGCTGGTTTCCCGATGGACCTACGAAATTAGCTGTTGCCTATTGCAATACGGATTTTCAAGTTGACGGCCCAGATGTCTGTATTGACTCCTATATATGGGACTTCGCCAATACAAACACACCTGATATGGCAATGAAACCGTCCTCTCCGTTGGTTTCTGTCGAGTTTAATCCAAAAGACACGCACACACTTATTGGTGGGTGTTACAATGGCCAACTCGGTGAGTTTACTCATCTCCATTGATATGTTTCTTTATAACATCTTTTGGGTATTTTCGTGCAAACCAAATGAATTTGAGTTAGGTGATGTTTTCGAAAAAAATTAAGAATTTTATTCCGGGCGATGTGAAATTTTATCCTGCATCTCATAGGAGTTAGAGTATATCTGAAGTTACTAACTTCCACTAGAACAAATTCTTAGTGCCTTTTTACATTGACCCTTATATGACGAAGACTAGGAACTGTGACACCGTTTTAAGTCCAACAATTTACTCTTCTTTAAAGCTTATAATTCTGAGGTAAATCGTCTTACAACTGATCATATTAAATGCATATATTATAATATTTCTATTAACTGAAAGTGATTATATACCTCAATATAAGTGTGAGGGATATTTAGGATACGTGTGTGGATCCCATTATGTGGAATTTAGTTAAACGATAGAATGTTCGCAGCCGACCTTTAAAGAAACTGAAAGAGTAAAAACTTTACAATGATAACTTTTCATATTTCCTTACCGTATTTTAAAAGCACATATCCTTTGTTGACTTGTTAGGGTATCTATTAAATTATGCTATTTTGTTATTAGTAGTTTGAATCAACGTATGGTTACTAAATTATGTTCAGTTGATGCAGGTATTTTGAGGTCAAAAGGAATATAAAATAACACTGTCTTAGCAAATACATGCGCAAATTTGGCACGGTCGCTAACATAGTGGATAAACCGTGACTAATATAAAAGCTATTACGTATCTAAAGATAAAATGAATTACAACATTGTAAAGTATCTGTCACAATTTGCTTTTAGCTTTTTGGGACCGTCGGAAGGGGTCTGTTCCTGTTGATTGTTCTCCAGTTGAAAAAAGTCATAGCGATCCCGTATGGAAAGTTATCTGGATCCAATCAAAGACCGGGACAGAATTTTTCTCAACTAGCACTGACGGAAAAGTGTTGTGGTGGGATGTTCGAAAACTAACCGAGCCCACAGATATTCTTTACTTGGATATGACTAAAGAACAAAACAGTATATGTGCTGTCGGAGCTTACTCTTTGGAATACGAATCTACCCTTCCTACTAAATTTATGGCCGGCAGTGAGCAGGTAAATAAGAAACCATTACAACTCTGAATCTAAAGTCATTTTAA